ACTAATATTGTGTTTCTTCCTTTGCAGCTGACATGAATCAATTTTTGAATACTGCTGGAGGGAAGGCCATCCCCAAGAAGCCAAGGAAGAAGTCAAGGACTTCAGCTAAGCAAGTGGATGAGGGGAGAACTGAGAGGGAGGTAATGACCCTGGCTTCAGCTGAGACGGAGGACGATGTGCCACCGTTGAAGAGGAAGGGTTGAGAGAAGAGGAGGGCAGTGGAGAAGAAGCAGAGGGTGGTGGAGGAGGAGAGGGGGACCGAAGTTCTTGAGTTCGTACCTCAGCCTCCTCCTGTTGAGCTGGACCCCGGGCTCAGACGATTGGAGGAGGGGGCTGAGGTACGGGCTCCTAGTAAGGGGAAGGGCCCTATTTCAACTGCGGTGCCTCAGAGCAGCCTGTTCGAGGCGAAGAACGTAATGGGGGCTAGGTGGTTTATCAACAACACCTTCCCCGAAGTGGACAAACGCCACGCGCAAGAGGAGACTCTGAGGTACGGAGGAGCTTCTGTTGTGAAGCACGTCCTTGAGGTACGTTAAAGTAATGCTGCTGTTTATTTATTCTGTTTCTTTTCTTCTGTCTCTTTGAACTTGTGCTTTGATTTGCAGAGCGCGAGCTGGGTGAATGGTCTAGCCCAGGAGTTCAGGAAGGGTGTAAAGGAGCGCGCCCTCTTGCAGAGGCAGTGTGACCAGCTGCAGAAGGAGAAGGAGGAGCTGGAGAAGAAAAACAAAAATCTACAAGAGTCATTGGACGAGGTGGTTCCAACTGTGAGGCAGTTGAAACAGGAGAGGGCTTCCCTGAGCACCAAGCTCGGCTTTGAAGAGAGTAAACGAAAGATCTCTGAAAGCGAGCGTGAGGCTCAGGCGAAAGAACTGAAGCTGACGAAGGAGGCGTTCTTGGAGCTGAAGAGGAACGTGCAGACCTTGGTGCACAATGGGATGAAGGAGCACATCAGCAACTTCATCAGCTCAAGCTCGTTGGACAACATCGTCAACCTATACCGGCTGCCTACTGCCATCATTGCCTTCACGGACTGCAGAAAGAAGGTGAAGGCTGCATATCCCGAAGTGGATGTGACAAAGATCACCTTCGGCGAGCAAGAAGGAGGAGTAGAGGAGGATGGCGAGAGCATGTCAGCAGACTTCCGTCCTCAAATTAAGCTGAGGTGGGAGGATGATGCAGACAGGCGTACTGTTTTCCCTCCACAATTCGACTTCGAGTTCGTGGTAGTGGGGGATGAAGAGGCAGAGGTGGAGGGAGACGAGATGGAGGCAAGAGTGGAGGAAGCTGAAGTGGGTGAGAGCCAACTCGCTCCAGAAGTGGAGATTCATCCAGTTCCCTCCGACGATGAGCAGCCTCTTCTATCAGACGAGCAGCAGCCAAGACAGCCACCTCTTCCAACCGAAGAGGAGCTAATGGAGCCACCTCCTCCAGCGGAGAACTGATTTTTATTTGTTGTTTTTAATTATTTTTTTTTTTGTAGAACATTTAAACAGTTTGTAACACTTTTATTATGTTTAATGAAATTATGTATTTGTTTATTGTTGGTTTATATTTTTGTTAAGTTTTATGAATGAAAGAATTGAGAGTACTTGAGACGAATTAAGAAGAATTAAGAAGAAGTAAGCCACTTCATATGAATTAGGGACAAGTACAGCATTGCGAACAAATTAAAAGCAGATAAAGTACTTCAAATGTGAAGTAACATTTATTAACAGAAGGGAATGAACTGATTGACCTCAGATACATAGAATAAGAGGTAAAATGATTTTCAATAAACACGA